TTCTCGTTCTCCCGGATGTGGTCCCACGCTCGCCGTTCTACCTCCGCGAACACCCGCAAGACCCCCTTCAGCATGTTCTGTGGGCCTCCCTTCATAATCTCCCCGAGGATTGCCTTCATATTCTCCCCAATGATGTCCTTCACCTCGTTCACGGCGTTCAGCTTGCCCTCGTTCCGGATGCTCTCGAGGATGTCCTTCGCCATATTCTCGACCCCACCCACGATGCCCTCCTGGATGATCCCCATGTCGAGCTTCAGGAGGCCACCCTCCAGGATGTCCACGATGGCCATCGCTACCGCTTCCTCCTCCCCTTTCTGTCTCACCCTTCGGCCAGTTCTCCCTTTCCAGTTCCTCCTGCAAGCTCCGTTTCACTTCGCTCCAGAACTCCGACCTGCTGCTACTCATTGTTTCCGCTTTGTGCCACCCTTCTTGATCGCGATCATGTCCATGTGGTTCTCCCGGGTGTGTTCCTGCCATCTCCCCCTCCGGAACCCTCGGCAGGTCCTTGGGCCGAAGTGCCTGCAGCTCCGCCTCCGCCCTTGCCTTCTCGCTCCAAAACGGGTTCACCGGCACCGCACCCCCATGACCACCCCTCTTCGCCTCGCCCTCCATCACCTCCTCCTCGGGGATGACCTCTCCGTTGGGCTCGGCGACCATGATGCCCTCGTCCCCCGCATCCATCGACCTGGCCCTCCTTCTCCTCATGCCAGCGTCCATTGCGGGAGCCTACCCGAGCAGCGTTGGGCTCATAACCTACAAGTGCTAAACCGCACGGTTCCTTTTTCTTGAGCCATGAAAGTCGGGGATTCACAGAAAGAAACAAGGGGGAAGTATATACTAGGTTCCCACCCAAAACCACATGACTTTGCGAAACATGCCCCACAAAACCCACATGACTTCGTAAAAAAACAAAAAAAAACAAATTGCGTGTCCTCTTGCTGGTCGCTGGCGGGGACAGGTTTGGTGAACTCCAGTTAGTCTCCAGACAAGCAAGCAGGAATACAGGAGAAGCAGGGATGTGAACATCATATTTGGACATGGTTTTCCTTTACATGGCTATGGCCCCTTTGAAAGAAACAAGGGGGAAGTATATACTAGGTTCCCACCCAAAACCACATGACTTTGCGAAACATGCCCCACAAAACCCACATGACTTCGTAAAAAAAAAAAAAAAAAAAAAAAAAAAAAAAAAAAAACAAAACAAAAAAAACGTGTCCTCTTGCTGGTCGCTGGCGGGGACAGGTTTGGTGAACTCCAGTTAGTCTCCAGACAAGCAAGCAGGAATACAGGAGAAGCAGGGATGTGAACATCATATTTGGACATGGTTTTCCTTTACATGGCTATGGTCCCTTTGAAAGAACCAAGGGGGAAGTATATACTAGGTTCCCACCCAAAACCACATGACTTTGCGAAACATGCCCCACAAAACCCACATGACTTGATAAAAAAACAAATTTCGTGTCCTCTTGCTGGTCGCTGGCGGGGACAGGTTTGGTGAACTCCAGTTAGTCTCCAGACAAGCAAGCAGGAATACAGGAGAAGCAGGGATGTGAACATCATATTTGGACATGGTTTTCCTTTACATGGCTATGGTCCCTTTGAAAGAAACAAGGGGGAAGTATATACTAGGTTCCCACCCAAAACCACATGACTTTGCGACACATGCCCCACAAAACCCACATGACTTCGTAAGAACACAAATCCCGTGTCCTCTTGCTGGTCGCTGGCGGGGACAGGTTTGGTGAACTCCAGTTAGTCTCCAGACAAACAAGCAGGCATAAGAAGCAGGGATGTGAACATCATATTTGGACATGGTTTTCCTTTACATGGCTATGGCCCCTTTGAAAGAAACAAGGGGGAAGTATATACTAGGTTCCCACCCAAAACCACATGACTTTGCGAAACATGCCCCACAAAACCCACATGACTTCGTAAAAAAAAAAAAAAAAAAAAAAAAACAAAAAAAACGTGTCCTCTTGCTGGTCGCTGGCGGGGACAGGTTTGGTGAACTCCAGTTAGTCTCCAGACAAGCAAGCAGAATACAGGAGAAGCAGGGATGTGAACATCATATTTGGACATGGTTTTCCTTTACATGGCTATGGTCCCTTTGAAAGAAACAAGGGGGAAGTATATACTAGGTTCCCACCCAAAACCACATGACTTTGCGACACATGCCCCACAAAACCCACATGACTTCGTAAGAACACAAATCCCGTGTCCTCTTGCTGGTCGCTGGCGGGGACAGGTTTGGTGAACTCCAGTTAGTCTCCAGACAAACAAGCAGGCATAAGAAGCAGGGATGTGAACATCATATTTGGACATGGTTTTCCTTTACATGGCTATGGCCCCTTTGAAAGAAACAAGGGGGAAGTATATACTAGGTTCCCACCCAAAACCACATGACTTTGCGAAACATGCCCCACAAAACCCACATGACTTCGTAAAAAAAAAAAAAAAAAAACAAAAAAAAAAAAAACAAAAAACGTGTCCTCTTGCTGGTCGCTGGCGGGGACAGGTTTGGTGAACTCCAGTTAGTCTCCAGACAAGCAAGCAGGAATACAGGAGAAGCAGGGATGTGAACATCATATTTGGACATGGTTTTCCTTTACATGGCTATGGTCCCTTTGAAAGAAACAAGGGGGAAGTATATACTAGGTTCCCACCCAAAACCACATGACTTTGCGAAACATGCCCCACAAAACCCACATGACTTCGTAAGAACACAAATCCCGTGTCCTCTTGCTGGTCGCTGGCGGGGACAGGTTTGGTGAACTCCAGTTAGTCTCCAGACAAACAAGCAGGCATAAGAAGCAGGGATGTGAACATCATATTTGGACATGGTTTCCTTTACGGGGAATCCTCGTGCCTTCCTGCTTCCCCAGTATCCCCGCTAGCTGGTTTTCCCAACAGGCGCATTCAAAGCCACGGCAACCAACTTGGCGAAGGTGGGGTTTGGTCAAACAATCCAATGGCCAATTTGGGAGGGACATGGAGACACACACTTAATTTTCCAGCTAGTGGTTGGAAGGGAGCCAGGCAGCTGGGCTCTCCAAACTAGCCTTTGTAGAGAGGGAGGTAAGGAGCTACCAGTAGTGTTGCAAGGACATGGCAGTGTTCCACAGAAATCAGGGGGCCACATGTTTTGTCCCTTGTCCTCTTGAAGCTCGTTCCCCTATTGGAAGCCTCAAGTAGCAAAAGGAACCAACCAATTTTTGGGACCTATTATGAGACAACAGTTTCTACAGTGGTTGAGTCGGGATAGGGACCGATGGTGTTGACTTGAGGTTCGTTGCTGTCCTCGGGGAATAACCACGGGTTTGGGAGTGAACCAAAGAACCCCCCCTTTAAGGAAACGACTGCGGCTGGCATACCAATTCCCGAAGCACGAAGCACACGAACGATCGGCTTTTTGGTTGGACCTTTGGCTGTGCGAATTAGAACAGGTTGGCTCTGATTCTCGTGGCGATGACTAAGCTGGAAGGTTAGAAAATCGATCAAAGGGTGCGTGGCTTCTTGTTTTTGAGGGGCTTACTTTTTGAGACAGAATGTGGGTCCTTGTGTTGGATCAGCCATCAGTAGCCCATGTTGCTGTTGTTTAGCATGGCCAAAATGCTGGGACGCATGATTTGTCCTACGAACACGTTGGGAAGACATTTTGACCGCTGACATGACGACGGTGCGGAGTATGGCTACCAAGCCGGGGGATTCTTGGTTTCCAACTGAGCAGGGCAGCTGGCTAGTCCTGAAACTGCAATTTATTGGTGATTGAACACATTCATGTTTCGGCTTGGGACCTTTGCCAAGTTTTTGACGCTCCAAGCGAACCGACGTGATTTCCCCTTGGTAGAGCAACCCTGGAAATGACGCCCACAGACACAGACACCCTCTTCTTGTTGATGGGCGCCCTATACTCCGCCCTTGCAGGAAACCGCCAGCACTGTCAGGTAGTTTCAAGAGTTGGGAGACTGGCAACCACTGAAGGGGTCTCCGGGAATTATTTTAGCAACAAATAGTAATTGAATTGCAAAGGAGAATTGCAATCGAGGTCAGGTGGATTTCCATTTTGCACTTCTAGATTGCAACAGCTTTGAGCTGGGCTTTCATTTAGCAATTTCAATTAGTGACGGCAGCAACGGTCAATGCTGAATGGCATTGCTCCTGCAACAATGATGGACCTCCTTCACTGAACTCGCTTGCTATTTTTTGCTAATTGTTGCTAATGTGTGCTAATTTTTGCTAATCTTGGCCAGCGCTTGGCGAACGCATTTGCAAAAAAATGCAATATTTAGCAACCCTCTCGTAGTTTTGGCCGCCTGGAAGCTCATTTTGCGAGAGGGTTGCTAATGTTAGCAATTTGTTTACTATTTTTTACTAATGTTTGCTATTTTTTGCAAATCTTAACCAGGGCTTGGCGAACGCATTTGCAAAACATAGCAATATTTAGCAACCCTCTCGTGGTTTTGGCCCCCTGGAAGCTCATTTTGTGAGAGGGTTGCTAATTTCTGCTAATTTCTGCTATTTTTTGCTAATGTTTCCTAATGTTTGCTAACTTTTGCTAATTTTTGCTAATCTTGGCCAGCGCTTGGCGAACGCATTTGCAAAAAAAAATAGTTCCAGTGCAATTTAAATTTGCTAATTGTGTTGCTATTTTTTGCTAAATAATTATTCTACTGTTTCCAGAAGTTCCCTGCAATCCAAACTCTTAAAGGTAGTTACTGTAGTTTGTACTGGGCTGAAAAGAACATGGCAGGGAGAAAGGACGTCCTTTTGCCGAAGGGGTGTCCCTTCCAGTTTGGGAATTCTAGTTTGCCATAGGTATGCTCTTCCCTGAATGTCCAAGTCTCGTTTCAATACACCCCTCAACAGGTTACCCTACAAAAAGAATCGCCAGAGCGCAAACCTGCCCCACAAAACCCGGAAATCCGGAATTTGCATGTTTCAACCCCCACCTCTCACTCAAGTCCCCCCAGTTTCCATTGCCTCGGCGCTCCGATTGTCAGGAGGTCCGGGCGTCCATCGCGGCACGCCTCGCGGCGCTGATTTACCACTACACCCCGCCGAGGCTGGATGCGCGCGGGGTCAGGGGAAGCTTGTCCTCAGGTCGGGTGGTCTGAAGTAGCCAACCCTGGGGGGCCAAGAGGCCGGGACTTGAAATCCCCAACTGCAGAGGAAGCTAAAACACCGCAAGCGCCAAGATTGGTCAAAAGCAGCACCCTCCCAAGATGCAAAAGAAATTGCTCTAATGGAGGTCTAGCTGGTAATTGAGGGACCCCTGACGGAATAGGAACCTGGTTGATCAATCAAGCCCTGAATGATTTTGATTGTTCACATCCCATGATTAGCCCGCAAGTTTTGTTCTTCCGGGGTCGGAATTCCTCACACAGGTGTCCTTTTGAGGTCAGTTTGCTTAGAACGAATTATTTGCCAGTGCCAATCATTCCATTTCCCAGAATGACAAGCCCCCCGTTTCCATTTCTAGATAGCTGTTTGCTTCGCTGCTCGTTGGTGTAACCTGCTATCTTTCACTTTCCAGAAGCTGACTGTTGTCTTTACCAGCCTCTGAAACGTTGAGTTGTTTGCCAGGGGGGGATAACAACCAGCACAACCGCCCTCCACTCGATTTCAATCACTGCAACTGGCCTCAGTCTTTTACCATGATCAAAGTCAGCCCCTAAGTGATGGGTTAAAGGGAAACAACCCCATTTTCTGACTTTGACAACCCCTAGAAACAATCAAAATCATGACCCCAGTGCAAGTTCAGCTGTGAGCCAGCCTCAGCAAGCTGTGCAGGAACTGGGCGTCGGCGGTTGAGACCTTGCTGCGCCTTTGCCAAGGCCAAGGCGGGCGTGTATAGCTTTCGTTGAGGGAGAAGGCCCCCGGCCCGGGTGAGCACTACTGTGAGTTTGGTTGCCCTCAGTCCCGGTACTCACATACTGGCCTCTAGGCCCTGCACATTTCCCGAGTTGCCCGGAGCGCGGAAGTTGGAAGTTGGAAGTTGCCGTGACTGAGTTCAATTTGCCCAAGCCGAATCGACCCTTTGACCTTTGGATTTCCAGGGGGAGCCACTTTTTGGTCAAGGTTTCCGAAGTCCATGTCCTTTGCAAGTCGACTTCGAGCCACAACCAAAACCAACAACGTAATTGAAGGTTAGTCGGGGGCAGTGCAAGCTAGAGATTTCCCGGCTAGGCTTCCTGAGTGCTAAATAGCCCGCAGGTTCAAATTACACAAAGAGAAGCAAAAAGGGGGTTAGCATTTTTCCAGACCCTGGATTTAGCTTCAGTTTTGATTGTGCCTCAGGGGCACTTGTGGCATTTAAGCCAACGCTGTTGCCGCCCAATCGCCAAAAACGAATTTGCAAGCCATCGTCGCAGGTCCCGAGCTGAAGACGTTGCTCAGCAAGGGTGGTGAAGTGGCACAATTGCTGCCTGGCCGGTGGAAATAGCTTTGGTCTTCTCCGATATGTTACGTCTTGAGGTTGGCAAAATCTGAAACAATAATCTGAACTATGAACTGTCAGATTCAAGCGGATCAGGGGCGCTTGTGGGGTCCCCTTTATGTGGGATGCATGTCTAAGGCCTTAAGCCTCTGAGCTGGGAAGGGCTTAGAGAAACCACCCCCAGGTAGCCTCCTTCACCGTCGGCCTTCCGTCGGTCGGGTCGGCTTCTCTCAAGGCTGCAGGGTTTGCCGGAGCTCCTGCCGAAGACGCGCACGGCGCAGCAGCTGAAAGCGGGGAAGATGAACATCACCAAGCTGCGGCTCGTTGGATGCCGGGAAGACCCCAGCAATTTTACCCAGCCCAAGTTTGCGAGTTTGGTGGCTCGGCTTCCCGAAGATCGGCAACCTTCCACCAGTCAATGGTGTTTTTGGGGGCTTCCCCTCAAACAAGCGGATGAGGGGAAAGAAACCGGAGGACTACTACTTACAAAGAAATAACTACGAGTACATACCGGGCACAGGAGAGGAGGGGTAAAACAAATGTTTGGCAGGTTCCCTACCAAGCTGTGGCTTGGCTTTGTTTTCCGCATTTTGTGCGTTATATAGCTGTTCCATGGTGTTCCTTCTTGTTAGCCTAGGCCTCTCCAACAAAACCAAACAAAACCCAAGTATTTTAGGGTAGACGGAACGTGGACCAGAGATGAACCAGAGTTGGGCGAAGCTTGGTTGGAAGCATCCCTACATGATTGCAACCGCCCCTTTTTACGATGTTTCGTTGGATGGCGGCTGTCTTGTGTGATGTTACCTCGTCGGTTAGCCTAGTTGTTGAGCGGTTTGGGGATGGAACCCTGGCTCTTGCAGAGGGGAACTGGGGTTTCCCGCTTCCAGAACACCCCCAAACCGGGCTCCAATCCCACCTTTTTTGAGGGAAGCTCACTGATGGTACTCTCTAATTTTTGCTTGGAAAAGAAAGCGAGCTCATCGAACAGGAGGGGGGGAATACGAGCGACTTAGCCCATCCCTGGCCCTAAACGCTCACAGCAACGCGAATCCCCACTAAGAAGGGGACACCGTTAATCAGCCATGGGGTTTTTAATTCGGGGTCAACCTTAGCAATATGGCCACAAGGAATAGGCACTACTCAAAGGGAGGGCTCGAGTCAGCACGGCTGACATAGAGCCTTACCCGTCCATATTTGGCCACATTGGCTTGCACCAAGTCCCCAAAATGGGAACCCCTGGGTTTAAGTCTGCATTGGGGTAGTCAACACGTGGAACCCTGAATGGACCTCCCTTGGTCTCAGAGAAACCTGCGGCTCGTTTGTCTCAGGATCTGCCAGCTGCTGGAGCGCTTGGCGTACCCTCCGCGGCAGGCGTCCCTGCTCTTGCAGATCTCCTTGCCCATGGATCGCGCCAACCAAGTGAGAGGCTCAGTGCAGTGAGGGCCATGAGCATCCACTCGCCCATACGAATGGACGAAATCCATGAAACGCATCACCCTTTAGAAGCCCAGCCGAATGATTCGATTCGTAAATACCAACATGGTTGCGCAGGGTTTCTTGGGTGCGGATTTGGTCCATCAAACGGGGCCGGGTTTTTTGGGTATGTGTGCTGACGTGCGCGCAGCTTTCATTAAGTCCCTTCGGATGTCATGGCTTGGGCCTTCAGCTTTGATTCGGATTCTGCACCAAGTTGGGTCGGTCCATTACCCTTTCAATATCTTGCAACTCACTTCCTGAGTTCCTGGACTCTCACTTTTTGAGCAAACATGTTGGGACTCTTTTGGAACTTGTTCAGAAGTGGGGCATTTTTTTTGGCAACTGGGCGTTAGTTTCCTGGGCCCTTACCGCTGCTGTGGCCAGGTTTGTTTGTTTGCGCCTTGCGGGCAACGGGGTATGAACAAAGCCTGGTTTTTCGGGGGCCAGTTTCCTCCAAAGGTCTGCACACCTTTGAAGGGCGTTGGGGCTTGTGTTTCCGTTTGCCTTGGCTTTTGAGGTTCAATTGCAGTGATTCTTCGTGCCCGCCTCCCCACATCAAGGTATACACTCGAAGAGGTGTTGCATGCGGCAGAAATCCAAGTTGTGGTCTTCCGCCAGATATGAAAATCCTTTGGTCTCTCATCACCACAAGTGGGTTTTGAGCAGCTGGTCGCCCAGTGAGCTGTTTCGACGGATCGGATCTGAGCGAGGTGATCCCGAACCAAAGCGACCTCTTCAAACAGACCCTGAGAGCTCTGGAAGGGGAAGTCTGGTGCAAAGGGGACCAGAGTTTGGATGTCATCGTGGTGGAGGCACGGAGTCTTAGCAACCGTTTTGAGCGCTCGGGTTCTTGGGGTTACGTTTTGAGCTCGGAGAGGTTGGGAGAGGTTGTTGCAAAATTGGTGTTTTTGTTACGTTTGTTTTCCTTGTTCTTGTTTTTCGGCCGGGGGGGACTGTTTGAAACCTGATTTGTCTTGAGCTTCCTGCCAATCATCAAGTTCCTCTTACTAGGTGGCTTGGATTTGTGCTTTGGGGATTTGAAATCTTGGGTCTTGTAGAGGGTAAATGGAAAACCCCTCCTTAACCACAAAAAAATAACGGGCTGCAAACCGTCTTTTGGAGGGAAGCTGAAATTCTGCCGAGTGATTGGACTATGTGACATTTCGTGATGGGGCCAGGCCCATGTCCCTCCCTCCCTCCCTCTCTCTCTCTCTCTCTCTCTCTCTTTCTCTCTCTCTCTCTCTCTCTTTCTTTCTCTCTCTCTCTCTCTGTCTCTCTTTTTGCTTGTGTTTGTTTTCTCCGAGGAACATGCGGCTGAAGCGCATCCCTTGCCGAATTGCAGGGTCATGAAGTTGGGTTTGTCCAACAAAAGCAGTTGGTGCTGCGCAGCATCCGCTTGAGAAGGCGGTTGAACACAAGTCATGTTAGGCTGATGAAGGTCGCTTGCCTTGGGATCTACGTATGAATTCCCAAGGGAGGGGGGTACGTTACCACAGGGTGGGCAGTTGTGAATTGTATATAGGTTTTTTTAGGGTTCCCTGTTCCTTACGGAGCCTTACAAATTCCCTAACCTAAATCAGGTGATTAGACTTATACTGTAAACAATGCGGATGTATGGGCCATGGTCAACAGATCTTCTCTTAGGTCTCTCTACCTTGTTGGTTGGATGGTCATCCACCCCTAGGGGTTTGTCTACCCCCCCGCCCCCCCCGCCGGGCCCAGGAAGTACTACGTGATGTTCATCGAAGGCGCCTGAGACGTTTTCCCAATCGGAATTCCGAAAAATCGGCTTGGCCACCTGGGCCGCAGATAGCCCAGAGTTGGTTTTCCTGCAGTTCGCCCAGGCCGGAAGACGCGATCCACAAAAAAAATCGCGAGCGGAATCGAGCGGATTGCCTGGCCGCCGCTTGCAGTTTCTCCCCTCAAGGGGTGGTTGTGAACATGACCTCGACGTGCAGTTGTCCAGTGGCACCGGTCTTCCCTTTTTGCCTTGTGGATCCTCTAACAAAAAGCTAGCGAACCACTAACCGTTTGTCAGCAGCAAACAGAAATAGTACCTTTATTCCTTTCGGGTCACTAGCTGGGAAGTAGGACCAGTCCTGACTGAGCTGGCAAAAGCACCACTCTGCGGACGGACGAGAGACGCCTTGCAGGGGCATCCGGCGAAATGGATAACCTCAACTCACCAACTTGGGGAAGCTTATTGCCGGCTCAGCGTCTTCGGCATCTGATGTGGCATCTGATTAGACCTCATGGGACCTGGCAGCTGGCGGACCTTAGCTGGCCTTGGGCTATGTTCAGCCAAGCTCGCTGCTTTCGACGGTCTCTTCCGTCCAACAAGCAAGGGACTTCATTTCAATCCGGCAAAATCCAATGGCCGTAGGGTCCAATTCGTCTAAGAAATCTTCACTGTTGTTGGCAGGTCCTTTGGTTTTCAGGTTTGTTGGTTCTGCTCATTTTGAGTGGGTGCTGCAAAAAGCTTGGTTTTTTCTTTCCATGCCAAGGTTCGGAAAGACATGGTTTTCGTTTATCTGCGGATTTCCGGATTCAGGTGAGGATTCTCCCGGGCGTCGCTGCCTTAGATCCCCGGTCGGCATACCACTCTGCTGGTGTTCAGTGGTGTCCCTTTTTCTTTCATTTTTTTTTCGGGGGGGGGGGGGGGGCGGGATGGCAAGGACAACACTCTGGATGGTTGCGAAATCAGGCCATGGGAAACTATTGTTCGTTGGTATTTACAGGGGAGCCATCATTTCAGTCTTTCTTAGGTGGTGCGAAATGGATTTCGTTCATCCACAATATGACTGTAGTATCGGCTTTCCTCACAAAGCATTTGAAAGATAGTCCAATGATTCTTGGACACTGCCTGTGGCCACGGACGGGGGTCCAAGGAATGTAATGTTAACCTCGGATTAAACTGGGCGACCGTGCTAAGCAGGGGTGGTCCCCCTTTTGGTGATGAGACAATTTCTACCTTCGCAACTTTCATTTGGTTGACTGAGCCAAGCCCAGTCAAACAATTGCAACATACACAGGTTGGTCCCCCAACTTGCCCTCCCAACAAGAGATCGACAAACCTGCAGCTGGGTTTCCAGTTTAGAGGAACATGGTCGTTCAGGCCCCCTGTGCAGGTTCTATGTTTATTTTTGGGAGGGTATCTCAGTAAACAGGGCTGTTTCGATGACAATGCGATTCGGTACTGCAAGCTTTGCGATACCACTCGATCCCATTGATATGTGTTGCTTTGAATGTCCGATATGCTTGCGATACAGCAACTTAGTATTGAACACTATCTCGATAAAATAAATACGGTCAACTGCTGATTTGTATGGTTGAAACGGCCCTAAAGCTCCTTGTGGGAGGTTTGCAATCTGCTTCAAGCCATCCAGTGGCCGACGCCGACGAAGGTCTACTATGAGGTCCTGGACATTACCGGCCCCGCTCCTCGATCCCAAAGCGCCGAAGAGGGGCCGGTTGTCCACGCATGGCCACAAGTGGGTAGTTAGCCAATGATCCAAGGAGTTCAGGCCAGGGGTTGCTATATGGGTCGGGTGTGGCACCGTGGCCGGGATTGAAAGGGCTTCGAAGCAACAAGGACGATGTTGGGGGCTCCGATTCCAATTTTGAGACAATCCAATATACCCATGCTGCCTTCAGTCAGATTGGAAGGGGACAGGTAGATTTTGTCCCGACACGCCACTGAACACCTGTTTTGACCTTTGCCTGTGAAAGATCGAGAGGGCTGACTGCAATGCTGTTTAGTTTTCTTCGTGCGGGGGCATGAACCGACGCACGAGCTAGCATGCTGGGGATATTTTGAACACCACCCCATTTTCCCACGGGGTTGGCCTATTTGTTGAAGAGGGATTTTCAAGAGAATGAGGAAGGTACAGACAAGTAATTCACCCAGACCTCCAGTGGTGACGATCTTTTGGTCCCCCTTTTGTTTCTTTGGAAGTTTCCCTTCAAAGTCAAGTGCCCCAAGAAGGTGCCCCTCGTTTTTGGCCCATGGCCACTTTTCGGGCTGTTCAACGGCAATCCGCAAGATCCTTGCCTTGTTCCTTTTTGAAAGGATTTGATTCTCTTTGCAGTGGTGCTTCATTTTTTGGGTAGGGATTTGAATTGGTTGCCCCGCTTGGGTGTGTTTTTGACGCCAACTCTTTCGGGGCTGGCTGGGACTTGTGTTTTTAATAGTTACCCTGTTGAGGGTTGAAGGGGAGCCAAAAGAAGATCGCTGTTTTGGCGAGTCCCCGGATTTTGACGGGTTTTAGTTCGTTTCAGGGGATTCCCACGGGGGGCTTGGGTTACCGAATGGCCAGGTTTCCCTTACGGTGATTTTTTGGGCATTGCCTTTTACCCCGTGCAGATCCCTTTTTGAGGACCACTTTTCTTGGGGCAAGCCATCTTGACTTGTAGGAGCAACTGGCCGGGGAAATCAGGACCAGGCCAATGTAGACCCAACAGAGGCAAGAAGTGCGTACCCGATGCCGGGGTGCGCGGTAATTTTTCGCTGTGAACTTTGGCATTCCTTTCAGGTCACTCCTACCTTTGGTTTGGACTAGTGGGATCGGTTTGTGCTGCCAGTTTGTCATCTTGCCCTTCTTAGGCTTTTGCGCTTCAACTTTGGTTCTGACTAGTGGGATTAGAGCGTTTCTTGTTTGAACTTGGGGGTTGAACCCCAAACCACCATCACACACCTCTTAATGAAGCTTTTTATCAGGCTCAGATTTTACAGAAGCAGGGGGCGAACCGGGGCTGAGTGGAGGCCACTCTTAAGAATGGCTAGAACTGGGGTTAATCCGCTTATGACCATGATCAAAACGAACATAACTGGGTTGAACATCCAACTGCGGTTGAGTGGAAGTAGATGGTCCAAGTTTATGTCATTGGTCATTCCCCTTCATTACCCAAATTATGGACTTGTGCCATCTACTCTGAAGGCCTGGGCTCGCGGGGTTCTTAACCTTTAGATGCATGTTGTGCATGATCGGAGTAGCAGGTGTGTAATTAGGCCCTTGCAGTATTTTCACCCTTTTGTAAGTACATCTCCTGAGTTTTGATCCCCGAGGTGATCCTGGTGGGAGCGGGCAAAAGTCTGCCCACCATTTGGGGCCTGAGGTGCGCGATTAGTCGGAGGTTTGGGTCGAACTGAGGGGATCATTTTGCGGCCGGGGGCCAGTTTCGGTTTGCGTTTCACACCTTCCCCATGGAAAAAGACAGCTGGAAGCTGGAGGTGATTGCATGTTTTTAGGAACGAAGGGGCCGAACCGAAAGAAAGAGACGAAGCCCTCTAAGAGTCCCCAAAACGGGGGAGGGTGGTTCAGGCCGCAAAGGGCTTGAAGCCAGGTCTGAAGCCCTTGTAAGCTCCCTGATTCTTGCAGAGGATAAGCCTGGGACAGGGGCATCATGGAAGGCGGGTGTATGATTCCTTGATCAGACTTGGCTCACTTGCAAGTGGGGAAGCTTCGGGGCTCTCGGGGATCCAGTGTTTCAGGCTCTGGGAATATAGGAACCTACTGTGGCTGGTTGCGAAATCCGCTTCTCGCACCACCGTTCAGAAACCCAACGGAGTGACTTGGTTCCCCAACGTAAATACCAACAAACAATGGTTTCAACCATAGTATCAAATTGGTGCGAACAGATTTCGCAACCATCCATGGTATGCCAGCAGATTTGCTGGTTACCCTTGAGTTCAGGACGTGGACTTGGAACTTGTTTCTACAGCCAGATGAGTAAAGGTGACAAGCCATGCTGGGTCCTCTTGCTTTTGGGCAAGCCATGTGCTGAGGCAGGATTTGCAGGGCGGAATGCCGCAAGTAGGAAGCCAAGCCATGAAAGATTGTGTTGTTTCTTTCAGGGAATGGTGCGCAGGGTTTCGTCCAATCCGGCTTCATTGATCTGGGGCCAGGGGTTTACTTCCAGCTAGACATGATGCCAAGTGACTGGATGGGTGCGTGTGGTTCTTGAAGGTACCCGTTCAGGTTGGCTCAGTGGGGAACCTCCCACTGCTTGGTTTCAGTGCCTTTTTGGGGGTCCAGGCGGCAGGCGTGCATCGTATTGCGAAAGACCTGGCCGTGGCTTTTGCAGTGAGATTCAGAAATATCAGCTTCGGACGAATCACCATGCCAAAGTCCTCAAATCTAGAATTCCTTGCTAAAATGAGGGAACCAACCCCGTGGTTGGCAACAGTTTTCAGGTTGATCCGATGTTGACATGAGGATTCTGGGCCACAGACCAAGCTCCAACGCAGGCTGTTTGAATGGCGCCAAGTTAACCGCCTGCTGCCGCGACCAATTCAAGGATGTGTCAATGCTGTGCTCTTCTTCGCTTGAGGCAAAGTTGGTTAATCATATGCTTCACTGGTCGCATGCGAAGAATCAGCATGGATAAGCTAGGATACATCAGCATAGCCACCCTTCAGCTACATCTTGATGCGCATACACGTGCAAGCTTAGATGTTTAATTATTGGTGTTATATGCTGTTCATGTCGGTTTTGCTCATGTTTTCGCAACAAGCATAAACACGACCGTGATTTGCAGTGAAAGGCCTCATGAAGCCTCAGCACGGCTATGGAGGTTTTTCCAAGGTTGGCCACACACGGGAAGGAATTCTTCGTAGCCTTGCTGATCTTTTTGTGAATGACGTTGTTAAACCTTGCCGACTGGTAGACTGGCAAAAGAGTTGTGGGGCAAGCACTTACGCATATGTTGTCTCTCTTTACCTCTCATTATCTTCCACCACGTTCTTCCCCTACCAGGAACCACCTGCAGCTCATCTCGCTTGTTCCTCCCCGCTTCGCCTCCGCATGCATGGGCCGCGTTCACCGCCGCGCGGAACCCCCAAGTGGGGTTTCCGCCGGCGCCCGCGGGAATGCGCGCTGTCATTTGAAGAAACCTGCGCCGTCGCCGGACTCGAGGCGACATGGCCGGGTGTTTCGCAACAGTATGGGACCCCTTCAGGTAGGCGGTTCCCAGCCATCCGGTTCAACTTAGTTGTTTTCGGGCGATCGGGGGTCCATTTAACCCACAAGAAGTTGAACTATTAGCAAGGGATCTGAGGACAGCTCAGTTCAGGTCGGTTGTTTCCTTTTGGCGTCCCTTAAATTTAAAGCCATCCAACAAGGGTTTCCCGTGTCTTGGTTGAGACAGACTCAGCTGGCAATATTGTCCGAGAATTGTCTGAAAATTTGTCCGAATTCGGGCAGACTCTGAGTCCCTTGTGCTACTTGTGATTCTACGGTATTGGGCAAAATATTGCATTGAATCCGAATTTGGTTTCGGCGTACCCAAGATGCTGGTGGCTTTGTCCCAATGACTGATGAACCAAAGGTGTGCAGTCCAGTCCTTTGTCTTTTTCTGCCAGCGTCACTGAGCAATCGGGCAATGCACCAGCCCGGCATTTTCAAGGGGATCTATGCCCACAAAGTGGATTAATGGCTACTTGTTTGGAACATAGACGGGGCTTGTCAGCTGTTTTGGGGCGGATTTTGCTAGGGCAAGCAACGCCTTGGGTTGGGTGATCTCACGGCATCACCAGCACGTGGACCCAGGGCTGCCTAAAGGCTCTGATTCAGTTGTTCCAGGTTGGTGTATGGGATCTTAGTGATAATCTGATAGCAGTGGCTTTCGGGTTGCTTGAGGGTGTGCCTTTTCTCATGGATTTTGAGATCCGCGGGCAAGACCTCCGCTCGATTTCCCCCAAGCCTCGGGGATGCCCTTAGTGTCTTGGGCCTTGGAACTGCTACGAAGGCCTTGGTCAGTTGTTGAGCCCAAAGACCTTCCCTTTTTGGTCCGTTTCGAGTCAAGGTCCCAAGACCTCCTTTTGACCTGTGGTTTTCCCATTTTTGGTTCATTCGTTTTCCAGGTCCTGCCAACTAAGTTGATAAGGTCCATTGGCATAGGACCCCGTCCCGCCCCAGGGCCTTTCCGCAGGTGTCAGTGGTCCGCTGGTGGGGGAGTTCCACGCGCCAGCTCCGGCGCACGCTGCTCCAGGCGCTGGTGCGCGAAACTTCTCAAAAAACACCCGGGGATGTGCTTCTACCTTCTTGAGTTTCAGGACTGGGGGAGGAGTTTCTCAGTTCGACCCTTAAACCTTTGAACAGGTTGCCCTTTTTCGCCCGCTTTTAGCAAAGGTCCCAGAATTCAGTTTGCAGCGGCAAGCAGACAATTTTTGATTTTGGGCAAATCCACTTCGGAAGTTGGACTTGAGCGCTTTTGGTTGGCAGGTTTTATGGCTTAGGGTTGTAGGTGGGACAACAGGTTGCTTGGGTGACATCCTCACCTAGTGGTTTTGGGATTTGGACCCCTCACCTACCTTGCTCTTGGTTGAAATGTACTTCTCAACGGCCATATCTTTTGGTTGCACGAACTGGGACTCCCAGAGAGGGTGTCCGAAGTACTGCTTTGGAGTTATCAGTTGCTTTACCTTCCTTCCTTTTTCGTGGGTCACCAGGTTTGCGGCTGAGTTTTGGTTCCCAAACCAAGGAAGCGGCGTCTCGAATTTAGGCGACCCCGTTTTTGGATTGAAAGGGACACCAAGCGACGACCAATCGATGGGGCCCCAGTTTTGAGAAACGCAGGGGCAAAGCATGGAAGGCGAAAGGCGGGACAGAGCAACCGACGAAAGAGAAGGGGGGAATGCACCCAATTGGGCAAAAAAACATCAAGCCACAACAACCAAGCTTTCAATCAGGGAACTGGAATCCATAACATTTGGGTAAAGAAACGCCCCTTGTACCTGTTTTGTGTTGAAAGAACGACGTCGCCTCAAAAGTGCTTGGTTGACGTGAATCTCCAACAAAATGACGCCCACCAACGGTCCCATTACCCAAATAGTTCTTGTGTTCGGAGGTTATGCAACCCTTACTTCTCCCCAATTCGGAGCGGGGTTGCCCTTGAGGCTCCAGGAAGATGGCGTCGCCAAGTGGGAACCTAATTAGAACTCGTGCAGCCACCAAATAACGGCGCAACCAAAAAGGGGGAAAAAGACAACAAACAGCAAACAGCAAACAAAACCACCAAAGACCACCAACCCACAGAAGGATCTTGAACTGGACATTGGCCGTCCGTCTCTCTGAGCCCTCGGGCTCCCGCTCTTTGCTCAGGGCCCGGAGAAGGCCTCGGAGGTGTTGCTGCGCTGGGGGGTGCCGCAGCACGTGGTGAACAGCGGGAGTTTGCTGGGGCAGTACCTGGCGCAGAACCCACACCTCGTGGAGGCCGGCTCCGGCTTGTGCTCGGATCTGGTGGGCAAGTGGTTTGGCCGGCTGGCTGGGAGCTGGGAGCTGGTTGGGTGGATCTTGTTCACGGCCAACAAAAATAGGCCGGCCAAAAAAAAGGAGTTTTTAGAGTTTGGGGTGGGCGAAATATGGAAGAGAGTCAGGAAATATGAGTTGTTGTGTGCGGATGCGGCCCAAGATGCATTTGGCCTGTCCAAAAGATCACCGTTGCCGGCTGATGTAGAGGAGCGCCACGTAAAGCAGGTGGTTTTCGGATGCATCCTTTCAGCAACCCGCTTCATGGTGTCAGAACTAGGGCTTAGGTTGCGACTGTTTGTGATAGCAAGTGAACGCTGAGTGACAAAGTTAGTGCCACATCGGAGAAAGGGCAACCCATTTCATGGCTCACTCGCGGGCAAAGCTCACCTGTACATTGTCTTTTTGTGGCTTGATGTTGTTTTTGCAAATGTCCCCGAGTCTGACCTTACTCATGTTTCTCCTTGCCCTTAGTTGGTGGTTTGGATTGGTGGCTTTAGGATTTGAACCCCTGGTTCTAGAGAACTGGAAACACTCCCTAACTTCTAAGAAGCCACCAAACCAATTGGGGATTAAGCGTTTTCTTCGGAATACCATTTTGTGCAGCACCACAGAAAAATCTATATAGACATTTGGGGCAACGCCAATCAACTCGGGAAGTTGGCTTACCAATGCAAACCTCTGATTAGAAAGCGAATGTTCTGTCACAAGTTGCAAAGTCACCCCTGCTGCTCCCCTCCCCCCCCAGCAAGGCAGATCAGGACCCACGTTGTTTGTTTCTTTGGCCGAACCGCCCTCAGGATGGCGCGAGCGCACAGCTGAGCCAGATCGTGGCAAAGGTCTATGCGGCTTGCATCGCGGGTGGCAGTTTTTGTCGGGTCCAAGTCCATGCCGTGGGAACGAGACCCCACTTTTTGGTTCAGGTGAGTTGCTAGCATGGACTGCGACCGAGCAGTCACCGGCGTTGTGCGTTGCAGTCTCTTAAAGACACAGTTTCTGGGATTGCAGCGCCACCCCATGGGGTGGAAGACAAGAACAAGACCAAGGCCGAACCACGATGGTGAACAGTTGGCCCCTTGCGCCCTGCTTTGATGTGTTTCTGACCAAACTTTTGCCCTCTGGTTCTGAGTGTTTGGAGGAAACGTGCTGTGTGATAGTTTGTATACGTGTGTTTGTTCCTGGCGGTTGGGCGACACATCTTTTAACCAATGCTTGAGCTTTGCCTGCTCTGCCTTGCAGTCCGACAGGCAGTTGCTCGCTTTCTGCTCCGGGAATCCAAAGAAGGCTGTCTCAACAATGTTTGAACAATCTGCCGGTTTGGGTCAGAGATGGTCAGAGGTTCCCACCTAAGGCCTAGGGCCCCAATCCTCCCCTCTGAGGATCTTGTTTCCCCCTTGGTGGGTTCAAAAGCATCAGCTCGGGCCATTGGTGACTTTCCCTTGGTGATGTTTGTTCTTTGGGTGCGTTTTCCTTGGTGGTATGTTGTTCAGGTCTGGTTACACTCCCTTCCACTAAGATGGCCCTGACCGGGGGTAGGGTAGGGGGGATCCCGAGATATTCGCTGTCAGGAATGCTTCGACGTGGAGTACCGCTCCGGCCTCGGCGACTCTGGCCTTGTGCTGGCGCCCCGCGGGCGCCGCGGGAGCGACGGCGGAAGCACGCGGCGGAAGTCTCACGCGACGCCGGCGGGAAAGTGCCTGTGGCTGGTATTTGGGCCTGTCAATGTTTTGAGGGTACTATTTCGTTTGTTGGTTTTCAAGGAGCACTACAAGGACAAACGCGTTCTTCTGTTTTTGTTTGTTAGTTTCTTTTTTGGCGGGGGGTTCTCCTAAAAAAGACATGCACTCCGGGACGGCTGGCAAATGGGCAGGGGTTGATGGATAGAAGAACACTACAAGGGGGACCACCCCGGATTAGTGCGATCCTTCAGATTTATCCAAGTCCAACATTGATTATTTTACTACAAAGCAACGGACGGGACACGAGTAAAAAAGGGGGGTGGCCATGCACCAGCCAGTCAGTGAGCCAAGAACATGTGCCCTCAGTGAGTTGGGCCAAACCTACCTCCAGAGGCATAGCTGTTATTTCAGGAGCCCTTTTAAGGGTTTCCCACATGTCCCTTTGGGTTTGTTTACACATCACTTCTTGGGCCAGTTCAAAGGAGAATGCCTCCTTCAAAATTTCGGCAGGACTGGGTACCAGATAGCCCAAAAGTTAGTGATCTTGAGGTATTTGCATTTGTGCGGTCTTTTCTTGCCTGCTATTGGGTTGGATCTTTAGACTTTAACTTTTTGGAAAACAAAGGTGTTTTCCACTAAAACACCCAAAGTTAAACTTTTTGCAGGGGGTCAACGGTAATCACGTGTTGCTCATTGTACTTATTCAATGAGTTTCTGGACTTGACGCATTTTTGGTTTGGACCATTATTCTGGTAAGCAGAAAGTTCAGATCTTTTTGGCCAACCCAGGAAGTGAGACGCTGCGCTAAGTAACCGGACACAACAGGCGCCACTTTCCATGGAGTCGCCTGGAGTGTCTTTGTTTCCCACCGGCTTGGTGCCAGTAGTTTGGGGTCCGTTTGGTGGTGACATGGGACACGAGTTCATGTCCCTGTGGGATCATGTTGGCCCGTGGCTCAGATTTCTTCGCGTTTCTGTGATTGGGCGGCTTTCCAGTTTTGTATAGACATGTTTGTTCGGTTGTGGCTTGCTTGCTGTGTTCCATGGGAGGCCCGTGATCCCACGTTTTCTTTGCATGCGTTGTTTTCTCCCAAACGTTGGCGTTTGTGCCTGTGGGTGTGTGTGTGTGTGTGGAGAGAGAGGTTCACGCTTGTTTCCATTTTTTCCTGCAGGAGGGTTTTGCATTTTGTTCACTCAGATGGTGTCATACCCAGAAAAGGTGATCGACGCTTTGCTCGTTCGGGCGGAGGAGGCAAGTCAGTCCAGACTCTCCCACGCCTTGCAACCAGTGGGCGGGGAGATGGTTGTTGCAAACCGGGCTTTAGACTTGGCCGATAGCGAGGCAATCAGATCTTGAGTGCTTTTTAGTTGTCATGGCGACATGCCCAAGGTCAAAATGCCAACGGTGGATGCCCCGTTCGCCATATTGCAAGTACAGGGACGTGATTTGTTTTGCCCTGGCTTTGTGGTTGAAAATGGCTGCCGTGCTTGCAACAATGAGTTTAAGCTTTCCTCTAATTGGTGGTTTGGATTGCTGGTTTGGTGGTTAGGAGGGGTAATTACCTTCGCCAAGAACCAGGGGTGCCAAGTCCCACCAATCCAAACCACCAATTGTGAGGCCGAGAGTTGGCACCCCCTCCGAACTTCCTGAGAGAATGCCAGTTTACCATGGTTTCACGGTCCAGTTTACTATTGTAATTGCTCCAAGGTGGGTTTTAGTGGTCTGGCTTACTCATGTACCCCGAGGTGGTTTGCAACATGTCGAGAAATGACACGCGCTCGAGTGGCAAAGGACGCGCCCCCGGCCACCCCGCCTGGAGCCGCTGGAGCCCATCGACGCCTCCGCCTCGAACTCTGCGACCAAGTCCTGCAGGCGAGGCTCGAGTCGCTGGGAGATGCCCAGCACCCGGCCCCTCCCCCCCCCGGTGGCGTCCTTGTGGTGAAAGCAGCTGCTTGACGCGTTGTTCCCAAACTTGTCCTGGGCTGTAAAAACTCACCATCGCCAATTCTGGTGTGGAAGGGGCTCAGGGACTTTTGTTGGTTTTCGGGTAAGGTAGTGCAAGGCCAAACTTTGTCATCACTTTGGAAGAAGCAAGGAAGGAGGCATTTAGCCCCTTGTGGTAGGTAACCAGGAAAATTCACAACTTGGACACTACAGGGGAATCCCCTGGTCACCTACTAGAAAAAGGTACCCGGAAGCCTCTGGATTGCAAGTAGGCTTCAACCGTGGTTGCCCACAGACGAGATCTCAATTTTGCATTTTGACACTCTTTCTTTGGGGAAACGCGGGAAAGATATATTTGTGTTTGTGGTGCGCCTCCCCCCCGAAAAAAAGGACAGCAACAGCGGGGTCTTGGCCAATCAAACAGCTTCGGGGTTTGGCCAATCCTAGGATTGAGGCCCTCGAACCTTTTGAGGCATTTTTTCCCACCGGGTTTCCAGGGAGCATTGGCAAAAAGGGTGTCCAAAGTTAGGGGGTGCATCTCTTCCAATTAAAGGAGGGTTTGGGTCAATTCGTCGCTGAGAATATACCTTTTTTGCTTGATATATGGGTCCGTCAAGCTGGGGAGCATTCTTGGATGTGCAACCCACGTAGGTTGTAGCCATTGCATTTTCTCCACTATGTGGGGTGTCGTTTTGTAGGGTATCGACTTTTTGTTCAATCCGGAGGTTCCCTATTTTGAGACGTGATTGGTGTTGTCCCACGCCTAGCCATGGTTGCAACCTACTTGCGCAGCGAGCGGCCCGCAAAAAATACAAGTCGTCACTGGCCCATTGAGGGACAGAAGCGAACTCACGGATTTCCAACACAAACCAGGGGGCGAACCCTAATTTTCCTATACACTTTTGGGGAAGCCTTCGTCATTTGAGTCACAAAGGTTCGATTTCCAGGAGTTTCCGATACAAATGCTGGGTTTGTTGGGCAACCCATGTGAGTCATGATTACAACCTGGTATTCAAACTCACTTCCTGAGTGGACTGGCCAAAAAAGCAACAGTTGTTTATACTTGCCACTAAAAATTGTCTTCCCAAGAAGCTTAAAGTCGTCCATAAACTCCGAAAGTGAGATCAACATTGCCTATCCAGAAGCATGCAAAGAAATGAAAAGGCGGCCGCGCCCATTTATGGCTGAGCTGGGATTGTCCGTTACTACCCTCTAATTACCCGGGTGTTGATTTGGGCTGCTACTGTGGATGGACGAAATCCTGCACCACCCAAGAAACTTTGGAATGATGATTCCCTTGTAAATAGCAACAAGCAATGGCTTCCAATGGTTTCAAAGTGGTGCAGAATTTCGTCCATACACAGTATAACTCTTTTTCACCGGCGCCCCAGTAATTTGATCAGGTCGGACCAGTCTTCGCCATCACCGCGGCGGGCAACATCCCCCACATCCCCGTCCTGCCGAACGCCAACCTCGCCGAGGCAGAAACTGGGCGGCGGGGCAACTCATCGACGTCCACCTTGTGATGTGAATACATAGATATGTATATATATATATATGTATGCATTCATATATGTATTGTTGAGTTAGTCAATTAGATACTCAATTTATGCATTTCCTGTTGGTCCTGATGACCATGGTGACTATGAATTTACTGGGGAGACCACCTGACATGTCGGTAGACATGAATTCCTCATGATGTTCACAACAGTGTCCTCCAGCTAGTTCTGCTTGGGTATACACATCATATTCCGGGAGCGGTTTTAAGCTACGGAGAATCTCGGGAACCCTGAAATCAAATGCGGCAAGAGGAAGTGGGCCCCATTCAGAAGCCGCCTTACAACTTTCGGGTTGGTGATTCTGGGGAACCTGTGGTACCCATCTTTTAATGTTGGTGAAGTTCAGTCATGTTTCCTGATGCTTCCCGAATCCTGGCGAGTTTAAATGCCGACATTCACCAGAAGCTGTGGGTCCACTGCATCTGTAGCCGCAAGCAGCGGCCTGGCTTTTGGACAGCCAGCGGGCATCGCCCCCCGCCCTTTGGATACGGTGCGTGCACGAAATACAGCAAGTAATGGAACAAGGAAACACATTCACCGGAACAAGACCACGGGGTTGCGCCATTTTTTCGGATGGTTTAGATACCGTATCTGGGTAACCCGCAAATTCTGACAGGGTTCCCAATGTTCCGCGTTTGGGTTGGCTTAAGCATCCGCGAGTTTCGTGTGACTTTCCGACGGTGATTTCCAAAGAGGCAATATATGGTTGTTGTTCGGAAACATTTTACATTTTTGCTTGTTGTGGTTTAGCTGTTGAAATCCCCCACTTAACTGCTAAAAAGCGTTTTTTGCTCCCCTCCCAACGCCAACCAAGCAATATATAGAACCTCAGAGGGTCGTTTTGGCTGACCGGGATCTTGTGGCAGGTCAGCAGGGTCCAGATGGGGCAAGTCCAAAACCAGCACGCTCACTGGCAATGACACACCGGCGTGCTGGCAGCAGATGCATCGCTTGTTACCTTCGGTGCTGTGCGTGTGCGCTTGCTTCTGTCATTTGTGCTTTTGGGTTGTTTATTTGTTTTGTTGTTTGGCTTTTTGTGGATGTTTGGGTGTTTGGGTTTGCTTGGCTTTTCGTGTTTGTGCGTGCTTTGCTACGATTGCGCGTTGCCTCCCTGCGGAATTCGGGGACGCAGATCACAGGGCCTAAGGACTTGCAGGGCCGTGAAACCTGAGTCGGCAACATGTCAATGTGTTTGCGCATTTCATGGGATTTGTTCGCCGTTGGGGTCTACAGCTTTTTCAAGCTGTGCTGAATTTGGAGGTGATTTGCCGAATCTCCACTCCAGGGATTTCTGCCAGGCTTCACTTCACCTGTCGTTTCAAGGGGGCTTCCCCAAGTTTCCCTACCCCAAGTGGAGCGCGGCAAACGCATCCGCAGAAAATTGTTTGACTATGGCCAGTGCCAAGGGCTTGCTTGGAAGCCAGCAAGCGCTCCTTACCTTGGTGTTTATTTTTGGTGGTGGGGGGTGGTGCAGTCAGAAGCTCATCCTTTGAATAGACAAGCTCTTGGCTCTCGGATTCCTCTATGCCACGCTGTCCCCAACGGGGGCGAGAGCCTATCAGACTGCCTTCTGGCCTTTTGGCTACGGAGGCCGTGCCTCCAAACGACAAGTGCATGGGGGATTGCGAAGTCCATGATGACGGGTCCTTTCAGAAGGTTCCTTTAGTTTTAGTCTGTGAACTCTTTATCATTTTACCGGATGGTTTACCTGTCTCACTTCAAGAAACACAACCGGTATTGGCAACTGCGGATGCCTCCGGCCACATGAATCAGAGGAATTCCCCTCAAAAAATAACAACACGCAGTCACACAACACACCATTATAGGGGGCCCCACCCCAGATAAGCATGGCCCTCCGGATGAATGTCGCATGCATGACATCTTGGCAACTTGTATTGTTTACCAACTTAAAAAGAGACACCTTTCAACCAGCGGTTTTCGCTCGCCCTCCCAGGTTTTCGCTTCTTCGAATGCGCTTCGCCTGAACTCTGAAGGGAATCGATTGGGGGACTTGATCGAAATGGCGGGGCATCCATGTTTTTTCTTTCGGAGTGCATTTTATCAGGCTGCCTCAATTGGTTTGGATTGATGGTTTGGATGTACATTTGAAGCCCTGGCTTCTGTAGGAGTAAAGGGGAAACCCCTCCTTTATCATCAAACCACTGGGAGGGAAGCGGATGATTAGCTTCTAACCTGCTAGGCTTTGGGGCAGTTGGCATCTCACCAAACCACCGGGCTCTGAACGTTGACCCCAGATGAATCAACCCCAGTTTATTAATATCTAAGTGTTCCCCTCCTAAAGTGGTCTGATTTCCCACTAAACCCAGTTGGACACCACACCCCCCTATTATTAAACTGGAGTTGATGAATTTGGGGTCAACACTTCATCGGCCAGCTGACCATGTCTGGCTTTTGACCCCACCTTTCCCCCTGACCCCGCGATCAATCCAAGGCCTTGGAGACACGCCCGGCCACGGTGGCCGGCGGCACACTTCGCCTAGACCGACTGGACGGAGGGGAGGACTGGAGGCTGAGGCTTTCTGCTTCTCAGGCTTATCTGATGCTGAAACTCTTCTAGGTCCCCCGGTAGTGCCCTTTCCCCCCTTTTTTGGGGGGAGGGTTCCCCTGCTGAAATAGACTACAGAAGAAAGGGTACCCCTATTCTAACCTCTCTACTGGAGGACCTAGTCTTGCTGGTTCGTTCAAATCGTGGCGGCCTGTACTTGCCCCCCCCCACAGCTTAAGTAAACAAAGAATCGCAACTCCCGTTTTCGAGCCCAAAGGGTATGCAACTGGTGGTTTCCGCGGGTTCATTCCCAAAGCCAGGAGGTGTTTTTTTTTTCCGCCTCTTGGGAGGTGCTCTTTTGGTATGGGCTTGGATGTTTCCACATGCCAAACCAACAACCTTCCGACAGAAAACCTGACTAAGTCCGGAAGACCATGTTCCTCTTTGCGGGGCCCTCTGGCTCCATGGCAACGTGGAGTTAGTGCAGAGGGTCAAATTACTTGAACCATCAAATTGGGGGTTTCCTTGTAGGATCCTCAAACCCCAAAACCCAAAACCCCAAAACCCAAAATTGGCTCCCCGGAGCAAGTTAGGGGAGTCCCACGAGCTCAAACATGGAGAGGCAAGGTATAGATTTGGTGGCCTGGGAATGGAATTGGGGAGCCCCTTTTTTTCCCAAAGGTAGGGAGGGGGCTGCTTCTTGAGGGTACGCCCAAGGTCCCTTGGCAGGGAAACCAGTACAAAGCCATCCCTGCTTGAGGGGTTCCAACGGATTTGGAACAGTACTGTGGATGGTTGCGAAATCCGGTCGCACCACCTTGAAGCCATGGTTGAACCCATTGTTCGTCGGTATTTATATTTAGCTTGGGGGCTCGAATTTCAGGTTTTCTGAGCGGGGGCGCGAAATTAATTTTGTAGCCATCCACGGTAGATGTTCTTTCTGGTCCCAGTGTGGTTGGACAATGTCTTCCGGCCTGGCTTCTTCCATGTACCAGTGGAGCATTTGTCGAAGACACCTCAAGGTTCATCTGCATGTTTGTAGCCATGCCGGTTTCAGTCACCCGTTGACCAAATCACAGTGCTTGTTTCAGACACATTCTAAGCAAAGCACCAAAGACCCACCGCGCGCATTCTCTTCACCAATCCCTTCTCTTCAGAAAATCTGGGCCGAGTCCAGGGAATTTGGCAGCAATTGAAGAGAGCCATGGGTGAACAGAATGGGAATCAACACTGAGATCCCTTGTTTGGCTTTCTCTTGGCTGTGAAGCAATACACGTTACCCGGCGGACTTTGTTACAAGGGTTCAAAAACGAACGCGGCTGTTTGTTGCAACAGCAAGAGAGCAGAAGCAAAGCAAATACATGGCGGCTCCAGTGCCGATGTTCGGTGCGGCAATTGTACCCCTGGTTGCTTGGTCTTTTGCAACTTCAGGCATGACCTTTTGGGCGCTTCGACTATCAGTTTGTGTGTTCCTAAAACACTGAGAAGTGCAAGGGGCCACTGATTGCCGACGCAGCTTAGGTCGAAAAGGGGCAAATTCTGGCCCCTGCTGAGAAATCAAATACCAATCAATCTGTCCACCTACCATTCCTCATTTTTCAGCGTGCCAATCATTTTTTTTGGGTTTAAGCATGTTGAAGGTACCCTGCTGACTTTCATGCGACAATATTGTTTTGGGGAGGGGGGGAGCGTGGGATCTGAAGAAAATGTTTCCGGCTGACAGGTGTGAACAAACAGGTTGCCCTTGTCAAAAAGGGAAACACATAGGTGGCCCGTCGTGTTATGGGACCCTCAATGACTCAAACATTGTGGTTTTCCATGTGGTTTCCATGTAAACCACCAAACAAGTGGTACCCTCGTCAGAAGTGACTCATTTCACAAAAACACAAAAGCACCATTCAAATGGTTTGAAACATGCACATTTCACAGAACACAATCGGCCGTGTGCTGAAAACGGCATTTTGTGTTGCACACGGAATCGCACCGGGAGTGAACGCAATTGTTCTCCGGACCCCCCCCCCCAAGCAGCCCCCCCAAACCTTAATTGGTGGTTTGGATTGGTGTGGCTTTGAACTCCTTCTTCTTGAGGGTAAATGGGGTTTCCCACCTTGACACCGAGCTGCAAACCGCCGGAGGGGGTTCTGAGTGGCGCGCAGGACTTGGCACAGACCTTGCCCGGCAGACTGGGCTACCAAAGCCCCAGGCGCGCCACGCGCCCCCCCCCCCCTCCCCTCCCCCTGCCCCCCACCAGGGCCACGGAAGTATGTCTCCAGAAGGCCGCCTGTGAGGGCCATGTATCTTGCAACCCTAGTTGTAAATCCCGAGGCCCCCTGTCTTGCTGAGGAGTGGTGTCCGAACAAGGGGAAGTCTGGCTTTTTGAGGTTCCGTTTTTCATCTGCAGGAGCCTTTGGGGCTGATCACTGAAAAGCAAGTGGCCCAAACTTCCCAGTACCCTCCGTAGTTCTTTTTTTTGGGTTTGTTTTGAAGCAATACTGATAGTCGGGGGTCTGGAAAGGATTCACATAGGGGTTAGTCAACGCATCACCTAAATTCAAGTTGACTGAGGGGATCCCATTGAGAGCAGTATCCTTTCAGGTTTCCAGTTCTTGGCCTTCCGAACATGAGTTTCCTGTCGGTTTCTTGCGGGTGGGGTCATGTTTGCAAGCCCCGGCAGTTCAGAGAAACGGTCATGAGTCATGACTTGTAAACCTGCATTATTATTATTTTTTAAAGAGACCTTAAGCAAATGGAATGTTGATTGCGCAAACATTCGCTTCGCGGTGCTCCTCACCCTGGGACCCTTTTAGGCCTCTAAACCATGGTGCCATTGGTTTGTATGGAAAGGGAACCCAGCAGAAAACCAACTTCTTTAGGGTTTACGTGCTTGTTTTCGAATTAGCTCGCTAATTAGTGGCTAGATGTGTGGGTTGTTCATAGGTAGTGAAGTAGTTTGGAAGTTGGCTATGGCCTCAGGTTCCGCCAGAAGACCCCAGTGATGCCGAGCAGCTTTATGATGTGGAACGAGCGAGAGAAGGGCGCCAGCGAGCGCCATCGCGCGGAGACGTGACCTGAAGACTCGATTGCCCAAAGCGGTTTGAACCTTTTGGTCTCCCCGTGCGTGTCTTTGTTTCAGGTTGAACCTCCAAAGTTGTGGTTGTCCTTTTGGTTTCCCTTAAAACCGCCAAAAAAGGGTAACCATCGGAAATGACGGATCCATCCTGGCAACCATGTTCAGCTGTTCGGTCCCAAAAGGTGTTCGCCTTTTTGGGTTCCAGGCTTTGCAAGAGTAACCTGCGCCGCTTCGTTCGCCCGGGAACCTTTCGTTCAAGGCAAAAGTGTTTGGTTGCCCTTCACTGTAGGCTTCCTTTTGGTGGGCGATGCTGGGAATTTAGGGAGGTCTACGTAGAGTCTTTCTTGCGGGTGGGGTGCTTTTCGTTTTTTGGTCGGGGGCTAACATACCAAAGTTTGGGTCGAACCAAGATTAGAGAGTACCCTTCTTGAGGGTATGGAAGTAGGTCTTAGGCTGAATCAAAACGAATCAACCATGATGTGATTGCACCTGAGAGATGCCCAGCTTTCTAGTCAGCCTGTTTTGCAAGACAAACGTTCCCAAACACACGCGAAACAAACCACTCACACCCTTTTGGGATTGTTGAATGTTGAATTGCCAGAAAAATTCTGAGGTATACAGTATACAAAGCTAAGAAAGTGTACTCGGGTCCTTTGTGGGCAAGTGAGCCAGGGCCTTTCGCGCAGAGATAATTCTACCCTGGAAGCTCCAAGGCTGCCTTTGCAAATGGAACCAAGTCTTCCAAAGGGTCCCGGGAGCTTCCATATCAGTTTAGGGGATCCCTTTAACCCCCACAAACATACAACAAGCACATATTAGTTTTCACCGGCGATGTTGATATCACGTCCATACCCCAGAAAAAAAAGGGGAAGAACAAAAAAGGTTTCCGCAGCGCGGGGTCTGAGGAGAGCAGCCCCACCAAGAAGGTGGAGCAGTCCTCGAAGCATAGCGCACGAGACACTCGGATCGAAAGCGATCGATGAGCTGAGTGGTTCTACCGGGTTTCATTTGGGGTTTATACATACTCATAGGTGGTGTTCCTTTTTCTTTTCTTTTTTTTTTGGGGGGGGGGGGGGTTAGAAGAAGACCTGTGGCAGACTTTACCTTAGCTCCCCCATGGCGATTCGGTGGGTTTGGTCCCAAAGGTCAGGTAGTTTTGTTCGAAACAAAATTGGTTTGTCCATACAAGGTCTAATACCATTTGGCTCAGGGCTGGAAAGCAGCGCTGCAAACGCCCAAACGTTTCAGGAGGGGGCAGTTTTGGTTAAGCATGACTTGGGGGGGGTGCCTTTGGGTGGCTCCTTGGGTCCCAAAAGACCTCAGGAGATGGTGCCGCTGAGTATCTCCAAGAAGTGTGCGACGAAGATCGTCAAGGAGCCTCTGCGCCAACTCTCAGCTAGCCCTTTGGTGGTAGCCAATGGTAGGTTACACATGGTTGTTGTTGGGAAACATTTTACATGTTTGTTTCTTGTGGTTTAGTGGTTGGAATCCAACCACTCAACTGCTAAAAATTGAGAATTGTTGCTCCCCTTCCAACGTCAACCAAGTACATGTTTGGTGGATACCAAACATGTTCAACCATAAAGTCATGGTAACTCACAGCAACAACAACGAGGAGATGCCAACTCTCAGCCTTCGTTGTTTGGTGGTTTGGAACCCCATCGTTCTTGCAGAAGGCACATGGGAAACCGTCCCCGGACCAAACCACCAAGTCAAACAAATAGAGGGAAGCGGATTCTTAATCTTGTGGCAGCAACCTGGGCCTGCTGTGGATGGACGAAATCCGCTCGCACGACGTTGAACTCAGGGTTGAAGCCATTGTTTGTTGAGGTTTAGGGTATCATAACTGCAGGGATTCTTAGGTGGTGCAAGATAAGATTTTGTCCATTCACCGTGTTTCACCAGGCCAAAGGCTTACCCTTTGAACTTGTTGAGCCTTTGGGTTTCCATCGTTTTCCCCTAGCAAAAAGTGGGATCCGTTGCCTCGCAACTAGATGTCCATTTCCAACATGACCCTATGCCATTATCCCTCACCGAGAACAACCAAGATGCACCCCGTAAAGTTTTGTTTGAGGAAGGAGAAGTTCTGTCCATGTTAGGGTGGGGGGCTGCAAAGAACCCTGTTTTTGCCGACGCGCAAAAAAGGGTTAAACCTAGCCTTTTTCCGAAAATGACGGAAGTGGGCGAGCCTACCATCATCTCAACAAGGCATCCGATTGTCCACTTCCATGCTTTTGCGCTAGATCGTTCGAGCTCGCCTGGGGGTAAAACAAACGAGCTCGCCCATGGTGTCCTTTACTGGGGGCATTCCTGTATCGAGTTTGTTGAGTTCGAGTGATCTGCGCAGATGCTTCGAACAAGCTCGATCCTTGCCTTGGGTTCCGCAGGTTCCCGTCTAGCGGGGTTCCCTTTGAAAGGGAGTCTGTAAAATCGGATTGAACCATGTTGAAATCGCATTTGGTAGCCTCCAAACCACTTGGAAGGCAAGCTGAATTGCAGAGTACCTAACTGAAACCAGGAAACCCTCGATTCTTGGTGGCTCCCAGCCATCCGGTTCCTTAGCCTTTTAGCTTTTTAGTGGTTTAGTGGTAGTTTCCATTTAACCCACTAAAAGATATTCTCACTTTTAGCGGGGGATCGGTTTGGGCAGCCCTGTGTTGTTTTATAAGTCTGCTCCCTTTGTATCAAAGGGTTGGGTTGCAGGAAATTCTACAGGAAAACAGCTGGTTTAGGGTGTTTTGAGGCCATTTCCTGCAGAGGTTGTTGCAACCAAACCCCTGACTGTAGGACCAAGGGGAGCTGAAGCGCATCTTCGACTTCTACGACAAGGACGGGTCTGGGCTCATCGACGTGGAGGAGTTCATCCCATTGCTGAACCGGGTCTTGAAACAGCCCGAGCCCATGAACAAGACAGAGGCCCGCCGGCCACCTTGGGAATACCCAAGGATTGCGCCTTTAAAAGGGGGGGAGGTTCAGATAATCTGTGGAGGGGTATTTTTGGAGGATTTGTTTTCGTTTTTTGGGGGGATTTTGTGCACCCATCCTCTGCAGCATCTTTGGAGCTCCCACGTCACGTGATGGCCAGGTCTGGAAGATTTGGGATGATATCGATCAGGATGGCAGCGGGCAGATCTCCTTCGAGGAGTTTCAGGGTTGGCATCTTGCAGCGGTTTTGGGGCTTCCGACTTCCTGATGTGGTAACCCCAAACCACCAATTAGAGGGACACTGATTGGCTTCTCACCTAGTGGGGTTTGGGGAGGGAGCAAGGAGTTGCAGAGCTGGAGTTATCGAACTTCACCTTTTGGGACGGAGTTCTTTTTGACCGGGATTTCATCAACATGTCCAGTTCAGACATGCTCCCCGACCAGATCTGTGACAACTCGCAGGAAAGAATGTCAAATGGAAGACGCAGGTGACCCTGGGGTCTGTGCCCAAAACATGTATTGCGCATCATATACCCCACATATGCAAGTCTCTAATTCCAGGTCGGAAAAGAGTGCAAGGGGAATGTAACTACCAATAGCCTGTCAACCCCATTCTACTTATTTAGGCCGATTATAAGTTGGGACACCTCGGGGCTCAGCCAATTTACCCCTGAGCGACTCAGTCCCTTTGGCACGTGCGACTAGGTACTGCGGAGCATTCCACCTGGACGGCAACCCGGACAGGACGGAGTTCATCACACAGAATGACGTACCTGCGCATGAGGCGATCGGTCAATGGATTCCTCAGCCAACACAATTTGGGTGTGGCTCGAAATTAGGGAGCTAGGGCCAACCGCAGGTTTTGGTCGTTGGTTCCATTTTCCACAGGAAAATTGTTGTACATTTATTTGAGCCACTGCCATTTGACTTGGAAAGGTGGGCGAAATGGGGACCAGCATAGTTTGTTGGGTATGTACCCCAGATGTGGGCCAAGAAACCCCGCAAGCGTCAGCAGTTCCACTCCCAAAAGTACCTTGGCAGCACTCATATGGACTTGACTTGCTGCCTGGTGTGGATTCGTCAAAGCCTTTTTGGGGCGAACTAAGGAAAATACACGCAAAATCTGGCTGGGGAGATCTTGGCTTGGTAGGTTTCTGGATTCGACATAATTTGCCATTCCAAAGCCTTTGGTGATCAACCGACTAGTTGGCTGCTATTTCTTGGATCGTTTCGAGTTTTCGGGAGTGTTTCCCCGTGAGAAAATGGCAATGGCCCTGCCTGGTCCAGCTGCAAGCTTCAGGCACGGCTCGGATCACGAGGGGGGTGCTGAGGGGGGCAGCGGTCCCTGAAGAGACCGACCCGGCCCGCCGGAAAGTGCCGTGTCTCGTGTCTCCCGTGGAAAAATCGGCCAATGCAAAGCTTCGACTGGGTTGTTCGATTAGCAATCTGCAAGATCCTTACCTTACGAAAGGATTTGTTTGGCAAGGTCCCTGTTTGAGCAGCCCAGTTAGATGTGTGTATGTCCGGAAACGAGTACCCGAAGGCAGCATGAGCCCCGTTAACCCATTCGGACCAATAGGGCCTTGTACAACCAATGTCGGCTGCTTCTTTGCATTTGTCCAACCCAAAGCGGGCTGTGAACATATGTGTTTGGTTTCCTCATGTATTGCCAACAACTCACCCTAAACCAACTCTACACCAACCGTAAACCCGATCCAAAAGGGACATGTTTCAAGGCCCTAAGTAGGCCAGCGCAGGGAAAAGTCAAAGCCATCAAGAGGAAAGCTGAGTTTGCGAATGTGTGTATTCTATGGGGATGCCCTGTTGGTGAACGGTTTTCACATGGGAAATCCCGCACAAAAACCAGCCAGGTTCGAGGGCTCCGATCCCGACCGTTTGAGAACCCAATCTGCTGGAAGGCCATGATCCGCAACATCGCGAAGAAGCTCGGTTTGGACTTCTTCAAGGTGGATAGTCTTTGGACCAGGCCGGCTAGAGCCCAGATTTTCCAGCTTTTTAGGGGCTCATGGTGTCCTTCTGATGTTTTGCTTTGTTGGTGTGGGAGGGGAAAAAAGAAAGCCACAACAACTAAACTAAGGAAAACCCCGCAACAGAGCGGAATAGCTCGCAGTGAGATAATGCTTGGTTTTTGCAGAGTGTGCAAGTTAGAATGAGCTTACTCGGGGGTTAGCTAGTTCAAGTTCAAGCAACACGGAACATGTTTCAGCATCACATACAGTCTACACCAACACACACACACACATATACGCATGCACGTATACAGACGTGTGCTGCCCCTGGCATGTGACTTGTGCTGTTTCTTGTTTTTTGCTCTGAAGGGTTTGGGCCCCGCAATGAGGCCTAAAGCTATGTGTGGAGGAAGCTTCAACACCAACACAAGTAGTTCGGAGTTTGTTCAGACCCCCCGTTTCCAATTCCCCTAGGTGGGATGTACTCGACTTTGCATATAACCCGCTTGGGGGCTCAAATGTGGACATTACCTACCAGACGTGGGGTGGTCGTTCTTTGGGTGGCTTACTACGGGTGCCATGATGGCGTTCTTGAGGCCTTTCTGAGACCTTATGCTCACTTGCCCAAAGCGAATCAGCCTTTTGACCTGTGGTTTCCAATTTTTTTGCAACCACTCAGTCAATATATCGCCAGTTGTTCAAACCCGACCTTTTATCACTGTTTTTGCAATTTGTTGTTCCTTTTTAGTCAAGGTTCCGAAATCCTTTCATTCCTGGGTTCTTTGTTGCCACGGGGTAGGGCAACCCGGGGGCAAACGTCGGGATCGGATCGATCCCGCAGGTTCTGCCACGCGGATTTGGACGCCAACGGCTGCCTGGACTACTCGGAGTTCGCTTGTCTGATCCAAAGGGAGCTGGCGCCATCTGGGAACCCCGTGGTCCCCGACAAGGAGCGCAGCAGCGAATCCAGCTTTTGAGGATCTGATCTGATCTGACCTTTGCTTTGGTGCATTTTGCTTGGCTGTTAGGACTTTAACTTTTTGCCAACTAATGGGCTTTCCACTAAACCACTAAAAGTTAAACTTTTAGCAGGGGAGCAGAAAGCAACAGAGTTTGGCTTCCTCTTTCTGGATTCCCATGTTGCGTCAGGCCCCAAACGGTGATCACCCTTTGACTTCCAGGTTTAAGAGCGGCAAGTGAGGTGGTCGAGAAAATCAGAGAACAGACACTACAACACCTGTGCTCATGGGATATCGGATGGGAGCCGAAGCAGGGGAAGACAGGCTTCCCTTTGGGATCGTATGGGAGTTCGGAAATATTGGTGGACCACCTTTTTAAATGGTACTCAAAGGGAAGCCAAGGTACGGTATATCTCTATCTTAGGGGGCCCATATCTTGAGAGACATCCAAAAAGCACCTCGGGCGTGCTAGGGCAACCAAGGTTTGGCAGTTCAGCTTGGCCCATGGGAGGTTCAGTCCAAGTATGCAGTGTACTTTGATGGATGTGGACCTTCACAGGTAGCTCAGGGGGATTCTGTGTGGGACCCAGGGCCGGCACCAACGGCGGCATTTTGCGCGTTGATTTCCAGCTCACTTCTGGTTGCAAGTTGCTACCCAGACCGCAAAAACGGGCACCACTTTTTTTTGGCGTTGAATTTGAAAAGAAACACCTCCAAACACACAAAACTGGGTGGCGACAGAAAAAAGGCATCTCGAAGAAAGCTCCATAGGGCCCGGAATCCCTCGAATCCACGCCGATTCGACTCGAGCTCCAGCCACAATTCACTTCCCTAAATCAATGCGCCGGAGTCTTGAGCCAAAAAGCGTTTTTTGGTCGGTGCCCCCTTTAGTGGCGGCAGGGAGCATGCCGGCCGTAACTTTTGTACGTTTCCCGGGGGTTTATCTTTTCGGGTTAAAGGGGGGCTCTTACGATTTCCAGCTCGGAGTGGGGATGAAGTTGGTGTGAGCTGGGCAAACCAGGGCATCTGACACTTATCCATTTTGGAGCCATAGCCTCTTTTTTGACGGTATAACTGGCAAGCCAACACTTGGTATATGGCACAAAAGGGAATCGGTCAAACATGTCAAACGTTGAAAGCTCTGGTGATTTTCCCGCGGATTTGTCGCACGTCCTCTTTGAAAACATTTAAATTATCACGGTATTGAGCTCAAAGCAAAAGTGAGCCCCACGTTAAGATGCCGTGAAGGTCTACCTGATTTCATAGGGGGTTATAGCAAAGCATAAATCAGCTTCATAATTAAGGGGAACCACGGATAAACAAACCCCTGGTTGATTAAAACGTGGTGTCCCCTTTCAGTGGGACTCCTTTGGTTTTACGGGTGACCCTCAATATGGGGTCAACAGTAACCATGTTGGTAGATGCTGGGGTTGAAACCAACAGTCAACGGGAGAAACTGGTGCCCAGAGAGCAAACTCCTTTTTGGGGGACCCTTCAATGGGCTTACGGCCTTGCAAATCAGATGGTGTTTGGATGTTTCCTTCAACAGCGTTGTTCCCGAATGGTTTTGCCCTAGAAGCTGATGACCCAATCTGGGAAGCTGATGTTCAAGCAAGTTCTTTGTTTCAAATATTGGCTTTGGCTCATAGCCACCGATTTGTGAGAAAAGCTGCTCAACATAGGTGGGCAGAATCGATATTTCCTTTTGGCTTCCCTTTGGGCCCGGCCCAAGGGTTGATTTCGCTGTGCCGGCCACAGCCCGCGACATCGATATCCGAGAAATCGGCAGGTGGTCCAAAAGTTTTGGATCGAGATTGATGCGGACAAGTCTGGGGTAGTCAGCTTCGGGGAGTTTGCTGCCTGGCGCCTTGCAAGCCTTGCACCGACGGACCGAGAGAGACGGATGCCTCGATTCGACGATGGCCCGTGCGAGTTTTTCTTTTTCTTGTTTTTTTCCGCTGAAACCACCCACAATCCTGGCACATGGACAATGCTGGATTTGTTTGTACTTTGTGCTTCCTTTGTGTACAGCCTGGGACCACCCTTGCTTCTAGCTTGCTTGGTGTTACTCCTAACTTTTCTGGAAAATTTGACGGTGCCCTTGCTCCCTTATTTACAGTGGCGGCATCCGTGGCAAGTGCTGCCCTATGCCCCCCCAAGAATCTTCATGGGGAAGCTTTCATTTCAGCGGGGCCCAGGAACAAGAGCCGTGAGAAGTCACGGGCGCTGAACCCGGCTTTTTTAAACATATGTATATATATATATATATATACGTTTGGACCCTGAAGTTGTGTGTCCAGGTCCGACAAGGTTACGAGGTCCACGAGGTTGATTTCGGATCCTGTTGGGAAGACCGTCTCAGCGGCAAACTGAAAGTATAACTAGGGCCCCCAGTAGTGCCCTTTCACCCTTTTTGGGGGGAGGGTTCCCCTACTAAAATAGACTACAGAAACAAGGGTACTCTTATTCTAACCTCGCTACTCGAGGACCTCGATAAAGACTTGCGGCCACTCCACTGGGCAAGTGGGGCCAACAGAAGTGCCCAGACGCTAGACCCCTGAGCTTTCCCAGCCAAAGGCTATAGATACAATATAGATCGTTGGAGTGGTTGACCAGGCCCCCCTTACTGTGTGGGGGATGTCCGTCAAGAAGAAGACGTTCAACTATAGTTCTCCCTGGCCCCCTCTTTCAAGGGAAGCAGGTTGTTCCAACAAGAGCGGTTTAAAGCAATTGGCTTTGCAAGGTTCCTGATTTAAATACGTCCAACCAACCTTGAGGTATATGAAGTTCCTCTTTGGCGGCAAGTCCCCCATGGAGCAGTACTACGCGGCCTTTGGCCGGAACAAGTTCAGCTTCGTCTGATGGTTTCTCTCACTTCCAACGAGGCACCCCTCTACAAATCAAGATGGAACCCAAAAAAAAGTGCCCCCCCCCCCCCCCCAAAAGGAGGTTCCTCGAAACATGGTGGGATTTTGCGGTTCCTTCCGTTAAACTGTGGTAGTTGGTGGTTTGGATTGGTGGTAAGAGTTTGCCCTCCTGGTTCATGTTGAGGCTACCTTTCCTTTTAATCCCGGGAACGCCGAATTCAAACCACCAAGCCAATTCACCGCTTGAAGTGACCTTTTTGCAAAGTCCATTGCGGCAAAGAGTTGGGGATCATTTTCTTGTCCCCTTTTCTCTCCGGAAGTGAGTTCTGCGGATGGGGGCTGAGGGCTCTATGGTTCAACTGACGCTGGAAGATGAGGGAACTTGCTCACCCAAGAGCTTAGGTTAATCGGCTCCAGTCCGCAAAATGGACCGACCGGTGAATCTTGTTTCGTTGGCTCCCTGTCAATCAATCGACGCCTTTCCCGCAAGAACAAGCCGTTTTCTGGACGACGGTTGCACTTAGTTGTCGGCTGCAAAAATCAAAGTTGTTTGCTAAGGCGTGTAAGCAGTGATTGGTCCCGACTTTTTGTGATACCAGGGGACATCTCATTGACGTGAGGAAAGCCGTTCAACCCCAATCCGCCACCTCTAAATATGGCGCTTTGGCAAAAGCCAGTGGTGCCTGTAGACGCCCCGCCTTGCAGTTCAGCTCAGCTGTGGCAAACGGTTGCTGTGAAAACGCAGGCTGCTTCTTTTTCATGCTAGCGTTGAAAGGGTGAAATTGCATTTGGATTCCTTGGATGCCAATCTTGCGGTTGGCCCTGCCACAGGCTTTCTGTTGGGCAGACAGTTTCATGGAGGTAATCTAGGATCACTGGTGGGTCTTTAAAATTTAGCTCTTGGGGAAACCAAGCTTTCTTCGCAGAGCAAAAGGTGGAGCCTTCTTTTGCACGGCGGTTGAGCCACCCGAAAAATTGCTTGTTGAGAAAATACCTGGTGTCCCCTCCCAAGTTGAAAGGGAGCGTTCCGAAGCCAGGGTTGAGTTTCCCGGCTGGCCACTCGATATCGCGCTACGGTGGATGCCGGCAAGCAAGAAGTATAGGGGAACAAGCTCGATGCTGCCCCACTTGCAATAAAGTCACGTCTTCAGATTTCAACATTGCTTTTATATTATCAGGTTGCTTCAGATCAGTTCTAGAGCCAAGGAACCCAAAGTGCTTCTAGCCAGTCAACTCTGCAGGTCAGGTTACGGGACTCCACCGTAGATTTTTGGTCGCCAGTGCTGTGAAAAGTTCGGAATCGACCTGGCGATTTCTTGGCATGCTCGAATTGAAAAAAGGAGCGGCCTGCTGGCCCTCTGGCTTGGTTGGGAACGCACCCAAAGACCCCTCCAAGGCCTTTGTATGGCCCGAAGAATGCATGCCAAGTTTGTTGTTTTTATTTGTGTTTTTGTTTTTAATAGAAGAATTAAATGTATTGGTTTCTTCTTCTTTTTTGAGGGGGGGAGGCGGGCTGGGAGGGGAGGCGTTGTGCTTCGGTGAAAAAGGCTTATTCATCTCTCACGCTTAGTTCCTTGCCAAGGGGTTTTCTTTATCCCGGTTAGATACATATGAGAATTCTTCCATTTGGGGTAAAACACCTGGACACTGAAAGTAGTCGGCTCTTTCGCGATCCCCCCAAAACATGCACTGCTGAGCTAGGTAACGTCCCAGTCAAACCCTGTGTTGCATTTGAGCTTTGTCGGTGTTCACTGGCTCTGCATTACATTGTCGTGACCGCAGGCCGAAACTGCCAACCTGGCTTGCCTTTGAACATAACATGACCTTGAGCGCTTGAGGCAAGTCCAAAGCTCATTTTATTGGCCAGTTGTACTTGAGCTTTTTATTGATATGGTGCGGCTTGACGGGAAGGCATGTTGATCCCGAAATGACAAGCAAAATAAACGACTCATTTGTAAACGATCCGAGTGGAGATTTCTATTTGTATGCGGACACCACCTTGTTACTGAGGACAGCCACGGAGTGAATATAACGTATAGTACCTGGCTTGCCTTTAAGGACAGGCAAATCAGCAGGGCATGGATGGACATGTTTACGACCCACCAACGCGCAGGACATGCTTACGACCAACCAATTGGCGCCACCCCACACCCTCTCGAGGTCACCACTTGGATTTCTCAAGCTCGCATACGCGGCCAGCTTATGCCAGCTTTGGGTTGTTCCACGTCAATCCTTGAAACTGCCAGGCGATGGTGTTTCCCTCTTTTGTAGCTTCCAACTTGGGAAAACGGAGTAGTATTCCATGAACCCCCCCTATGTTGAACGCATCCTTCGCCAGGCCTGAGGGTGTGGTGATCTCTGGCACAGCTACCTGTGCTTGCGCCGATGCCTCAGGCAAAACGGCATGCAGCCAGTCTCATTTTTGGGGACGATCCATGAAGCGATACAGTGCAAATACACCCGAGGCGTTGCTGCAAACAGGTTGTCCCCCATTTGTTCATAGGGATCCACAAATCTTGCTGTCGAGAACCAGAAACTTGGTCACGTTCGCAGCTGCACCCTCAAACAAACCTGCTTTCGAGTGGGGCGGCGTTGGCTTGTTCGCATCAACGGATCAGCCAAATGCTGGCTTAGACTGGGCACTCTCTTGAAACAAGTTGAGAAACACCCATGGAAAGAGGGGGCTGTCCAAAATACATGATGGGTGCGTGGACCCCTTCCAACTGTGCAGGTGAACGACTGGGTTGGGTTGTGATTGGAGCCATTTCCAACCCCAGGCTCCCAGAAGGCGCGCTTTGCGTGTTTGTCGGAGTATGGGAGACACACTTGAAGTTGCCCTCGATTAGCAAGCGATTGAGGGAACTGTCAGGTAGCCCCCCCACCCCCCAAATCTCTCCTGACTTCCCATTTGGATGAAATGGATTCTGCTGAGGGGCCCCATGGCATCTTCAGGCTCGTAGCTTGGAGTTGGGGGCATAATTATACCGCAAACAATGACGAGCAGTGTTGTATTTCTCATTTCCATATCTTCGAAGAACATGAACTTGTCTTAAATTATGAGTTGGTATCCTTCATGAAGTTGTTAGAACGAAAACCGGAGAAGAACCCGCAACTCTTGAGGTGAAGTGTTACAAGTCTTGACATTCGAGGCCCTGCGGAACTTGCGGCTTTGTGCAGAGCCCTCCTGGCAGATTAAGCGGATGACTGGCGCCAGCAGATAAAGGTGGGTGGGTATCTTGGCCACCTTTCGGGCCATACTGTGGATGTACAACATCCCTTTCGCACCACCCAAGAAACCCTGGAATGATGCGATTCCCGTTGGAATACCAATCAAACAATGTTTAAATCATGGCTTCTTAAGTCGGTGCGAACGGATTTTGTCCATCCACTCCGAAGCAGGCGAGTTTTCAAAGGTGATGTTTCACTTCACCTTGGTTGCATGTCTTTTGTAGTTTCTGGGGGCTTTGGGAGGCTGGGCCTGCAAAACACTAGGACAGTAGATGGCTCACTCAGAATGGAAAGTGGTGGTGGCTGCAAAGAGCAAAGTTGTTGCTAACATCCGAATCATACCGCAGGAGAAGCCTAAAATGGCATGCCCGCTCGTTACCAAGAGAGCTCCACTCCGGTATCGTTACGAGGGAGGGAAAACTTTGCTCTTGGGCTTGCGTCTTTTGTGAGGGATCCCGTTCAACCTTTGCCAAAACGTGTTACGAGTCTCAACTTTGGCTTGGCCTCGAGCAAAGCACGTTTTACTCACACGTGTCTTTTTCAGGGAAACCAAATGGGATACCGTCCATTTTGAGGTCCCCCTGTCTGCAGTTGCGCCTGAGTAAACCATTTTTGCTTGTGAGTATCCTCAGGGAGCAGCCTCCAACCGGTTGGGCGCCAGGGGGTTGGTTTCGTTCAATAGCCAAAGTGAACAGAAGGCTTCGTCAAGCAGGCAATCTTACCAAGCCGGAAGCCAACCTTTTGGCATTGTTTTATTGTTTTTTTTGTTTTTCTCGTTGGTCAACTGTCTCAACCTGACTGGTCCGGCGAGCTTGCGGGTCCTCTTAATGCTGCAGGAAGCGATGGATCCTTTCAGGGGCTCGGTCACCATCAACTTGCCGTGAGCTCTTCGGGGCAGTTCCTGTGCTCATGATGAAGCATTTCGGGGGTGGTCCTGTATTTCCAATTTGGGAATCATGGCAAGTTGCACATGGGGGTTTCTCAATCACCATTTTGGGACCTTCAACAGTTGCAGTTTCCTTGGCCCATGTTAAAGTGCTCTTTGCTTCTGTGGGGAATTGCAAGGAAGACAGCCAACCCCTTGGTCAGGAAACCTGGCTCCCTGTTCTGGAACTGTGTTAACTCATGTTGTATCCGGAAAGGGGCTCCCGACTCCCTCGACCACCTTCGTGCCAGGGCCAACTGCCATGCCGTCTCCATAAGGGATGCCAGCCCACTGGTAGAGGGCTGCGAGATTGCGCTGGGCCCAGCTCCAGCGCGGGTTTCCGTGTTTGAGCAGCAAAAAATATGATTTGCTGATGTGGTTTTGTTTCTCTTGTTGATGTTGTTGATTTGTGTGTTTGTTGCTGTTGTCGATGTTGTTGAGTTGTTTGTTTGTTGTTTGGTTGTTTGGTCCAGAAGCCTGGTACCAAGCCAACCTCATGCTGGCGGCTTGCAACTCATACGCGTCGCTTTTGTGCATCTTCTACGGGAGTGTTCACAGACCTTCGAAGAAAGGGCGGATGGGACGAATGTCTCCTCTGCTGCACCCTCCAATCGCCGCGGGATGCCGCAGGTCATTGGTTTTGCTGTTTTGTACTGGTTTGTTTACACAACCTTTTGTAGTCCCTCCAAAGGTGGGGGGGGGGGTTGGTTGAACACCCGTGCAGGTGTTCGGGCGGTCTCCCCTTTGAGTGTGCCACTTCCAGAGGGAACAGTTGTTCAATCTCTTCATTTGCTAAAGGGATCTGACATTGTTGGAACTAGCATTCGGACATTGGCTATTGA